CATTACTGGTTTTGGTTTTGTGATTTCAACATTTTCATCTGCCCCAACATCATGTTCAATATAATGTTCCCCAATGATCTATACAAAAAGTAAACATTAAAGCATAATTTAAGAAATTACATTATTGCAAATTGTATGCTCATAAAAGTTAAAGGAGAAAATTGAGGAAATACTTTATGCTTTGCCCCAAGGCCATGCTTCGACTCACAAACACGTGCCCTGGCTACATCACTAACATCTGTTTCTTTCTTTATTCTTATATTATTTCTCGTGGAACCCGACGTCAATTCATGATTGGAGTCCATACGTATAGTAACGTCCGAACTCCACACGTAATATTTTCTCCTAAAAATTAGCCATTAACTATTGGGATTGTTTGGTCACCGGACCACTATCAAGAACCCTGTGAGAGATCAATTGAAATCATACAATTTCCCTTCTTTAAATATCACAATTTATTAGACCGTTGAGTTTGCCAGTCTTGTATATCAATGTCATTCTTATATACCACCGAGAGTTTAGTCCTCTTCACTTATCATGGCAACTGCACAATGCAATTATCATAATTTAAATATTGCAATTAATTTGAGGGAGTTGGGATTGTCCAGTGAACATTTTAAAGTAAATAAATAAAGTTCATAATAAGTGCATGTAATCTTCACAAATATAATGTGATGAGAGATCAACGCATGCAGCTAAAGTTGATATAGAAATATTTAGAATTAAAGTTCCCAAATTGAACGAATATGATATGCAATATTTAGAATTAAAGTCCAGCAAACATATTAAAGTAAATAAATAAATCTCAATAAGTATAAATAATAAAAAAAAGTCAATAATAAATCATGTGAAATAATAATAAAAAAATGAATTTTTCAAAATAAGAAAAGTTAAGTCTCACACTAATAATTAAGATGACTTCCTATAGAAATAGGTGGTTTAACATAAAAGCAAAATATTTTTTATAAATCGGAATTAATAGATTTTACCAAAGAAGGTGTGAATAAAAAGTGTTAGAGAAGTAATTCATACACTCTATAATTGTTTAGAAAATGGCGACTAGAGATTATAAAAGCTAAGAATGAAAGGAAAAGCCCTTTTTAGTAGATATACTTAATGAAAATAAATCCATTGATGGTGGCTTGAAATCACGGGGGGGGGGGGGGGGGGGGGGGGGGGGGGGGGGGATCAAGCACAAAAAGTTGACACTATTGGAGATGTTGATAATAGCATCAGATATTTGTGTCTGATTTTTCTTACGCACATTTTTGCTTCTGATTTTGCAGGCATGAAACGGTAAAAAATAGCTTTCGATATCTAAGGTGGAGTTTGCTTTGGATTTGACTCTAATAATGAGACGCAAAAGACATTTTAATTACGACGAAACCTACAACGATACTTGTGACGTATTTGCATAAAGTAAAACAACGCAAAAACTTTACTTAAAAATGTCGAACTATATCAAACACAAATGATGAGAAGTCTGACACAAAAGAACTAAAATATCCATCCCGCACCATTCATTTTATTTTCTTCTTCGCGCCCCCGAAACCCTTGCACCCTGTCCCTCTCACACTCCCAAAATCCTCACTCTCCGTCCCTCTCTTCTCTGTTGAGACCCTTGCCATTGCCCTCACCCTCGCCGTTGCCATCGCCCCTCTCGTTTCCGGTTCCCTGACCAAGCCTTCAGGATACAACTGTCATTAGAGCTAGTTGAGAAGGCACAAAACAGAGAACACTGGAACACCCAGATTCTTCATCCTTGTGCTCTGCTCATATCAGGAAACATCAAGGAAGTTAAATCTATTTGCGCCATTTTTTTCATTTTAGAATTTGGTATGTATGTAAGAATTGAAGTTTAGGTGTTAGCTATGTATATACATAAGTATTGAGTGGTATGTATGAGAATCTAGATGGAGATGTTATTAGTAGAATTCAATTTGGTTGGTTGAAGTAGTGGAGGAATGCATTGTATCTATTGTTCAAAGTAATGGTGATATATGTGGGGATGTTATTTTAGAATTCACGTTGATTGGTTGAAGTGGAAGAATTCATTTGGTATATTTTTCAAAGTTATGGTGATATGATGTTATTTGTATTGAATTCGCATTGGTTGGTTTAAGTGGAGGACTACATCGGGTCTATTGTTCAGAGTGATGGTGATATATATGGGGATGTTATTAGTAGAATTCAAGTTGGTTGGTTTAAGTGAAGGAATGCATCAGGTTCATTGTTCATAGTGATGGTGATATAGATGGGAATGTTATTAGTAGAATTCAAGTTGGTTAGTTGAAGTGGAGGAATGCATCGGGTCTATTGTGTTATATAAAAGTACCGCTAAGACTACAAGAAAAATTTTATATGACGGTGCTAAGACATGCAATGCTCTATGACATAGAATGTTGGTCTTTTAATAAGAATCATAAAAAAAAAAAGTTAATTGTTGCAAAGATGATAATGCTTAGGTGGATGTATGATTGGCTTGAAACATAGAGACAAAATGATAAATGGATATGTATGTGATAGGGTTGTCGTAGATCGAGTGGCAGACAAGATTAGATAGAGATTTCTTAGAAATGGTTTGGTAACATTAAATGTCAAACCAACTTATGAGCCTTGGGAATCCGAGATCTACTTGACTAAATAGTGTCGGCTTCACCATATGAAGTGTGCTACTTCAAAGAGGTTCCTATGGTAATTTTCTTCGAACCATTAAGCATACTCATCCACTGTACATATTGATCAGTAGTGACTAATTTTTATTTTATATAATAGTTGTACTAATCTGTATATCTACATCTATGCTGCAAATGGATATTCATAATTTGAGAGCTTGGATGTATAAAAAATTATTTGTCCGATAAAAATGACTCACTGATGAGTTCTTAAATGGTATTAAAGAATGTGTGCATGTGGCATCAAAGCTGACCATTTATTATTCAGAGGGTGAACTCTGTTGTCCTTTTGTAAAGCACAAAAATTAAGCGCATCTGCAACCCGAAGAAGTTAAGTTGGATCTTTACCGCAAGAGATTCAAACCAAATTATTGGTACTTGATTGGACATGGTGAGCAAGAACAAAAATTTAAGTACGATCAAGTCGGTGCCTCAACAAGTTATGACCCTCTAGCAGATGAATATGATCGTGACACATACAAAGAAATGGTTCATAAGGCTCGCATAGCTCATTTTGTTGAGAGTGTTCCACATGAAAGTGAAACACCGAACAATAAATCACAACAATTCTAAAACTTACTCAATGTTGCGCGAAAAACTTATGGGATGGTTGCACTACACATATGGAGTTATAAGCCGCACTGAGAATGTTGAGCGTCAAATCTAATTTTTACATGGCCAGAGAAGCATTCAATCAAGTAGCAATATTATTGAAAGAGATAAACCCTACTGGAAATTTAGTACCAAATGACTTGTACATAACAAAAAAGTTAGTATCAAAGTTAGGGTTATGATCTGAGAAGTTTGATTGTTGTGTTAATGACTACATAATATATTATAAGGTCGATGCAGTTGAGATGACATACCAATTTTGTGGTGTTGATAGATTTAGATAAAGAGGGTGAAAGAGAAAAAATAAAAAAATATTCCATACAAAATTCTCTTTTACTACACACATTGTATACTTGTTCAATTGCCAATGGTTCAAAGTTATTCTGAATCGATGAACACAAACACTTATCCCTAATGATATCATCAAAGTCAAAGTGAGTAGATGATATGCAAAGTTTGAACCATTTGTTTTAGCACTCAAAGCTACCCAAGTCTATTATCTTTGATACCCTAGAAGAGCAATGAATAAAGTTGATTGGGTTGTGCTCACAAAAAATAAACCAAGAAAAATAATTGAGCTGCAAAGTATTAGAGTGCCCATTCATTAAGAGGAAAGCATGTCAGATTTTCACATTTAGGTCGATACAAACGATAAAATGTATGCGGTAGAGGATACCATGAGGATTTTTTAATAGATTCCTAATGAGAATAATGATGAGACTGTAGAAGAAATTTTAAGTTTGTCTACGACGACGAGTTCATCTAATGAATTTTAATAACAATGATATGTAATTTTGGATGAGTGGTTACTTTTACATTACTTTTTAGTTTTAGTTGTTTTTAGACATAGTTGTGACATTTATCTTACTTTAATTTTGTACATTCTCATGTTTACTTTTGCTATTTATATCTTACTTTACCTTTTTTTGTTTTAGGCATATTTAATACATGTTTAATGTTTTGCACCTTCATGTGTTTACTCTTTATTTATGCTCATTATTATTTTAGTTGTTAGTACTGATTTTTTTAATGTCTTTGTCTTATTATAGATAATCACAAGTGTTGCAGGTGGTCGGCCACCTGAGAGACTCCGTGTTCTAGGGACCTTAGAGACCACCTATCGGAGCAGAAAGAAGGGGTCATTCTCTTCTACTACTGCTTCAACACCTCCTCCCTCACCTACTAGTGCCACACCTTATGCACCACCTACTTCCTCATCTGATGTTGTTGCACCTACTCCCCCACCTACTGTGCCACCTGTTACTACCACACCTTCTGCGCTACCTACTGCGGCACCTGCTGCGACACCCCCACTAATTGTAGCCCGACCTACTACAGCTACACCTTCTTCTGTACCACCTATTGCTCAAGCTCTAACCACACCTTATGAGTCTGACCTCTTGACTTCTACCCTGGTGAGGTTACATTTACTGTTGGAGGGAGACTCATCAGTTATTTTTAACATTAGATTATATTCGTTCTTCATTTTATTTATTTTCTTGTAACTATTTTTTCTTAAGAAAATTCATTTCCCATAAGATGCTCGTGACCCGCATCACAGAGATAATCCAGAGTAGATATGATCGGTCATATCTCCTTTGGAAGCAGATCTTTGCTGGAGTTTGATGTAGGATCATGTAATTTGAATCAGAATTGCAAATTCAATTTATTATGTTTTATTAACACACATGAATTATTTCTTTACGTTGCAAGGTCTTTCACATAGCAGCTAGAGCCCCACCACTAGATCCATCGAACCTTCGAGATTCGAGGCAACAACTTGGGGGCATATTCACCACAACTTACCGAAAGGACGAGCAGCCCTTATGGATTGGTGAGGAGCTCTAGGGTTAATTGACCACAGCATGAGGCTCTTCTAATTATGAGAGGAAGTGGTAGATGAACAGGGTGAATTGGGCTATAGAGTGAGCCAAGAGAGTTGCGCTCAATATTGGAGGATCATTCACCAATACAGAATACTACAGAAAACTAGTAAGATTTTTTAGATTATTTAAAAATTCAATGTTTGATGTAATTATGTGGTGCTAACCAATCTCCTACGCTACAAGTGTCAATCTCCTACACTACAAGGGCCAGGAGTTAAGTTTTGAGCCCTTCGTTGCAGAGCTGCATGTTCGAACCCATCAGTGCACAAAGTCGCAAAAGTGGGCTCCGAGCACTCCCAGCAGTTGAATGTAAGTAAAAAAAAATTCCTTAAAATTTTATTTCTACTCTTGTGATTTAAAGTGGCAATTAAACATTGGTTTTAAGTATGTATGAAAAGTTTGAGTGGTTTCAGGAGAGGTGCTTGGCCTCTCTGCCCCATACTTCCACCAATAACACTGTGCGGTTCGAGTTCGAGTTGCGGACTCAGGCGGCGGGAAAGAAGAGGAGGAGGGTCTATTGCCTCAGTGTGAAGGGCATAACCCTCGAGGCCAAGATCTATCATGTTTCAATCATGTTTCTGAGCTCGTCATAACCAGACCAAGATACTCTTGCCAAACAAGTTGCTGTCATGAATGAAGAGCTTCGCCATTTGCATGAACAGATGTTACAAGGCCAACATAGGGTTGAGGATTCCATAACATGCATTATCTATAGTTTAGCAAATCGTCGAGGCAAGCTATTGATAGCGTTAGTAGGGGGAGGACGAGGATGAAGAGGAGGAGGAGGGAGATGAGAAGTAGGGGTTTTTTTTTTGTTCTCTTTTATTTTTCAGGATTGCTTTGAACTTATGTGATGGATTTTTTTGACGAATTCTATTGTTGATATTTGATGCATTATTTTTTGTGTGTAGGTTGTACAGATGTAATCATTCTTTTTTTTTTTGTGTAGTTGGTTTGCGTCTTATCTGCGTTGAATACCCTGACACACAATCGTCAATCATTTTCCGTTATTCTATGATATTATTTGTGACAAATTCGACGGTAAACCGATGCATAAATTTAAAGTCCGATTTTGTAGACACAACTTCAAATGCATGTGCAGCCTCAATAATAACTGATGCTAATGAGATGCAAATACGACCCAAATAAATTATGGCGAATATTTTGGATGCCATTAAGTCGAAAGTTACATTATCGACCCCAATTCACATGCGAAAAAAACACACATGAAACATACACAAATTCGACGATAACCCTCAATTAATGTCGGATTTGCCTTCGTTTTACATCTGATATATCCATCGCAAATTTGCTCAATTTCAATAGTGTGACTGTGACAAATGTTGGTTGTGTTTCGTGAGGCGATGTAGGGTTACTACGAAGTGAGTCTGCACTAGGGCAAAGGACTGTAATTTCTAACTTCAATAGTAAGAGAGGGTGGGAGAGAGAGAGATGGTGCATTCAAGAGATCCAAATTCCCAGATGATATAGTGAGATATAAGGAGGGTTATCAACAATGCTTGATTTCAAGCCAGAATAAAGAGAGATATGAGGTGAGAAGGACTGGATCAAGAACTTGAGATTGAGATTTAGAAGGAGAGGAAACTTGGAGTATCTTTGTTTTCCTCCTTCCTAATCAAAACTAACTACATCTTAGCACTAAAACTTTATCTTTATTAGTCTATGCATATTTTTATGCGACTAGAAATTAAGTTACAATCATGATCAATTAAGAATCTGAGGATTCTTTTTGAAGCAAGAAAGGTGGCCTTATGAGTGGGTGAATCTTAAAAATTTTATGAATTATTAATAGATTTCATGAAAATATTATAAGAATTCAAAATATATTTTAATAGCTATTTTTGTGCCACATTGCTAGTAGTTGAAATATGTCAAAACTATTATTCTTATATTATTATATGAATTAACTTATTTGTTTCTTTGACAAAATCTTCACATTTTAAGTCATACATGTTAAGAGAATATCTCACGACTCATTTATACAACAATGGTGCATTATAATGTCACATGGAGTAAAAGAAAATTATTAGGTAAAATCAAGACCATGCCAATCTATCAAGGCTCTTCTTATTAATTTCTAAATCGATGAAAAGCCACATTCACTAAATTCATGTGATTAAGTAAGACCTCTATTTGGAGATTTATAGAAGCATGCTCCTCCTAATCATTAAATACTATGTTTGGGGGAGTGAAAAATTATAAATTGCATAATATTAGATTTTATGGTGGTGAATTAAGTACACGAACAGATACATGAACTAATATTGCATCACATTTAAATAAGCCTATATAATAAATGGTAACGACCCAAGTCGTGCCTTATATATATAATAAT